AGCTGGAGCGGCGTTCTGGTGCTCTCCGTAAGCACTCTAGTCTACACTCCTTTCAGACGAGAAATAACCACGTGAAGACACGTTACGCTCGTGTTGTGTTCAAGGAACCTGTCCTTGGCCAGGAAAAACAGGCACTCGCTTGTTTAATTATTTTGCGATCTAGATTTCTTCTTCTTTTTTGAAGTGAGAAGTTGTCCGTCAGTCGGACGAACTAACGGACGGACTGACGGACCCCCCCCCCCCCCCCAAACGAAAACTCTTCGGTTCTCCACGAATTACACAAGTCACCCAAAGCAGCGTTAAAAAAGCGGGAGGCGCCGAAAAGCGACTAATTTGCATCACTGTTAAATATAAATTTAATATAATTTGTAATATTGTCCAGGTATCATTTACATCCAATGTATATAAAACAAAATGTGTAATTATCCAAGATAATTCCCAGATAAATACTGCTTCAGAGTTGTTTAAAACATGATGATTAGTGCTTCTCCTCCGGGGCTGACCTGGTTAATGTGCTCTGCTCCGGTCCAAGTGAAACTGCAGGTGTCATTGCAGCAGAGAACATAGAGGGGGGAGTCATCTGGGTTGGTCCCCGAGGGGCAGATCATTTCCGTGAACACAGAATCAGCATCCTCCTTCTCTGCAATGCCTGGGTCACCCACTGTGTTAGACATTTGAGGAGCAAGAGGAAAATATGGAGAGGGAAGAATGCCAGTTACAACATGTTGTAAGCGGGGCAGCTAAACAGGTCAGGATTGACATAACTGGTGGATTAACTCCAATGTTCCAGCGGTTAAAATTACATCAGATTCACAAATATCATGATGTGTTCTCAGAATGTATTACCAGAAGTGGTGGCTGGTTATATGTGCATTATACAAGGCAGGCATTTAAATGCAATCATAACAGCCTCCCTTCAAATGACAGCCCTTTCAAATCAGAGCGCAGAAAGATGACTTATTAACTCACCCTTGGCCATTTTCTGAGCAGCCTCCAGCACAGTGATGGCTGCTGGGTAGGCTCTCCCACTAACTGCCAGCATGAATGGAGTCATTCCACGGGCATCCCTGTCAAACAAAGGCAATACCAATATACATGAGGGACAGATAACGGACAAATAAACAGAGAATAGCAGATGAATGAGGACAGGATAAATGCAGTAGCATTGTATCCTGTAAGCAAAAATATGATCATACAGAAATAAAGAATCATACTTTGCAGATAATAGCTCCCGTAGGTGTGGCCTCAGAACAACACTGTCACACATCAGCTTTAAGATGAGATGGGCGTTGGCCTTCCTGTCTTTAGACTCCACCACAGAGGGCTCAGTGGACGGCCCTGCGCGTATAGAAGGACAATCCATTAGATGAAACACAAGGACCACAAAGTGTGAATACACAATATGTACAGTACACAGCTGATGGACTCATTTACACTGGTACCAGAGTGATAATGCATACTGAAAAATATCATAAATGTAATAATTGCCCCTTTAGACTTTCTGGATTCTCAGGAAACAACACATTCCTCAGCTTTTCTACAAAATGATCTTTCTTATATCATTTTGAGCTAAATTACCAGACTAGGGCTGCACTATATATCACGTTTCGGAGTTGACATCGCAATATTTTAATTGTGCAAGGCACAAGGAAATCTTGGAAAACAAATAAATAGGTATCATAGATTTAGAAGATCGATCTCCCTTTGTGATTTCCTGTTAGTGTTAAGTTGTAAAAGAGTCTGATTCCATCTCTGTGATGACACGTACCTGGGATGGTGGAGGTGCTGGGCCCCTGGCTGGTCCCAGTGGAAGCAGTGGTGAGTGAACCCACAGCGGGGGCAAGAATGAAGTCAATGTCACCATCTGTTGATAAAAAAAGAAAAACACAGACACATCAACACAAAGACTTGGAATCATTTACTTGGGCAAGGAAGGGTAGTTAAATTCATGAATGCACACTTTCTAAGACAGTGGTTCAAAGCCACCATCAGATGTAAAACTATAGAAAAACCACTCCAGAGGTCTAGAAGAGGGTATATTGTGCTTATTTGCCCGTTTAAACAACTCTTCTACTGACCAGGGTCCATGGGTGGCGGGTCGGGGACCCAACTTGGTGGGGCAATAGGTGGTGACACGGGGTCCTGGTGGTCGCTGGATGACGGGCCAGACTCATGGCGGCCTAGACCTGCTGCTCTCAGAGACCTCCGCATCATCTCTCTCAGCCGTAGCCTGGTGACGGCACAAATAAAAAACTGAAATTAACACCAACAATGCTTGTGTTTTTGCCTTACTGGAGAGCTTGTTCACTGACATTGGATATTCAAATATACATTTCTTATAGGGGGACATAGAGTCTTCTGTACAGAAAACTTTCCCTATATATTCTGTGAAGCATAAACAGGGTATAAGTGGTTATTTACCCTCTGCTGCTGGAGGAGCCAGTCCTATTCCCAGAACTGTTGCTTGAAACCACAGAAATGGCATTGGCAATTGCCTCCACAGCGGAAAGACGCTCTGCAAATGTGTTTCTCTCCGACCTTTCAGCTTCTGAAATGAAACAGCACGGTCACTTAGCATGGAAATCAGAGTCTTGGAGGAAAAGGGAAATAAACCGACTCGCTGCGGTGGCTCAGTCAGTAGGGGCTTGGCCTGTAGGCCGTAGGGTCGCCAGTTCAAGTCCCCGACCAGACCTAAATATGGAGAGTGGACTTCTACTTGGAGAGGTCCCAGTTCACCTCCTGCCCTGCCGTGGTGCCCTTGAGCAAGGCACCGGACATACCCCTCTCCTCCCCCCCCCCACCACCACTCCAATTGCTCCCCGGGCGCTGTACAATAGCTGCCCGACTCCTGGTACTAGGATGGGTTAAAAGCAGAGGCCAAATGTCACTGTGCTGTGTGCTCTGCATTACAGAGGGTTTCATCCCTCCAATTCTATCTATCTTCTAAGATTGAAAAGTCAAAAACTGAGAGACATTGGGAAGAAAAATGTGACATTAACCAGGAATTCTAGATAAATGTAGTTTCTGACCAGACTCTTGACATTTATTGTCTAAGGCAGCAGCTTACCTTCCTCCTCTTTGGTCTCCTTGTTACTAACAGGGAAGCAGACGGAGACGGCGGCATGGAGGATGTTGCGGTTTCCATCACAGCGATGATCCAGAAGGGCTCCGAGGGCCTGGCTGCCCTGATCCAACAGGAAGGCCTGCTCCAGGTTCACCAGGTACTGCCGACACGCCTCGTAGTCACAACGCAGCACATGCTGCATCAGCGTCTGTTTCTGTAATACACCAAGACCATGAGTGAACGCTGACTATCATCATTCATTTACATGCATTTGATGTGACTTAGACAGCATTGGTTTTTAGTCTCCTAAATATCTCTTAGTACTCGGAGTTTACTGGTTGCTCACAGTTTTAAATAAATTGTTTTTATAACATCATGTTTACCTCGACAGCCATAATAATGATAGCAGCTTTCTTTTTAATCGTGGAGTTAGAGGGGAGATTGGCCAGAGAGTGCACTCCCATTCCCAGGCTGTTTATAGGTGGCAGGTCCAACCAATCAGGATCTCGAATTCCACCCATGCAATCCTTGGCCATTGGGTAGATTGTGCCATTTCCATCTCGTAGGATGATGGGAGATTCCTGGAAGAAAAATAATGTCAATATTTCAGATTTGTACATAGCAAGAAATGGGCCGAACAGAACATGTCCCCTATTTGTGAGATTTTTCTCACCTGTCCTGCAGTGAAGATAGCGACATTGCGCTCACTCTGACCCAGGAAGGCCAGGTTACTTGTGGGGAAGTTGTTCTCCTGTTCAGCTTTGCCTGTAGCCAGGTCAAAGATACAGTACCGAACCCAGCTAGCAGTTTTCAGCACGGCGTGGACTCCTGGAAGATGCAGAGATATTTAAGGATTTTAAATACAAATCTACAGAAAACACTAAACTAATACATTGACAAAATATATTAAACATACACGGAAATACAGAAAAGAAGACTTACCCTTTGAGTCAACATTCACAGCCAGAATCTCTGCCTTTTCTGGGATGCAGAGCTTTTTAGGTGTGCGCTGAAAACAATCAGGAACTTTAGGAGTCCCGCCAGTTTTGACGACCTGTCGTAACAGAAGACAAGAATTGCTCACAACTGCACATATGCATTGACATTAAACTCAGGATGAGGACAAGTAATATTGGGGTTGTTTATGTTCATACCTGCAGCTCGTCTATTCTGAGGAGCCGACAGTCCTGCAGCAGTGATGAAGGGTCGGAGTCAGTGGGAGCAGCAGTGCTCTGGTTGCTCATGCTGCTCGATGTTCCTGGAAACCTGACAGCAACATACGCGCCGTCCACTTTGAGCACCTAGAACATAGTTGTGAGGTTGTGAAACTGAGATTTCATGACGAACCAGAAACACAGGATGTAAGAACAGCCAGACTCAAAAACCTCCATTACTAAGCAGTACAAGATAAGATCTATGCATCGCCACATTTCAGAAGCACCCACCTTTCCAACGGGAACATTTTTGACATCCTCCACAAACACCACCTCCCTGAGAGGCCACTGCTCCTCGTTCACCTTCTCTTCCTCTTTAGGAGCTGGGGTAGAACGCCTTCGCTCTGCAAGTAGGAGGGCATAATACCTTTTAGTTTGATCTCAGTATATTCAAAGACACATTAATGGATTGCAGATGGTTTTGATTAATAGGGATCAGTGTTGGGACTAACGCGTTACAAACTAACGCATTACTGTAACGCAACTACCTTTTGCGGTAACTAATAACGTTACTAGTTACCTATTCCCATTCAGTAACGCCGTTATAGTTACTGTGATTTAAATGGGTGCGTTACTGCATTACATTATGTGATCCAACTGAACCGAATCTCCCTGCGGATGTAACAGGCGAATGCATCGATGTCCTCTCACAGCACCATGGAAAAGTGAAAGTGACCAGAGAGGAGTAATGATTGGTTAACGCGGGGTAACATTTCAGGGTAAGCCAATCAGAGACAGACACACAAACACTTGCTAACACACACACACATACACGGCAACACCCACCACCAGCACACACACTATGGCAGATGCAAGTATCAGCGAGAGCAGCAGCGCATTTACAACTTGGAGATATAACCACTATTTTCAATTTGTGGGGATAAAGGACGCAAAAAATATTACGGTAAAATGTAAACTGTGTGCAGGACAGAAAGCATTGTCCACATCGAATAAGAGCAATGCCAATCTCCTAAAGCACCTAACTAATATACATGGGGGGAGTTGTCTTTTCTCTTACTGTGACACAAAACACAAAAACTTGTATTTGTATTGATATTATTTTTAAAGTAAAGTAACTTGTTACTAGTTACTTTTATAATTGAGTAACTAGTTACTTTTTTGAGAGCAGTAACTATAACTATTACTAGTTACTTTTTAAAAGTAACTCGCCCAACACTGATAGGGATGCTCCGATCTCTAATTTTGGGGACGATCGCCGATCCGATCAAGTGGGCGGGGCCTATGGGGATCTTCCATTTAAAGTGATGTTTAAAACCCAATGGGGCTCATTCACTGGCGCTCACAAACAACAACCAACATAATTATTACATTCAAATGAAGTACATTATTCAAGTTTACATTAACTTTGGATAATAACACGGGACAAATGAGCGGAAGCGCTCTCTTTTCCTCCCTCCCTCTGACAGCCTGTCAGTATCTCATGCAGCTCACTGATCCAGTAATGAGTGACCCGACAGTGAAGAATAAACATATGTATAACTAGTTTAGCTTGTTCCAGAGGTAGATAAAATAGCTAAGTGTATTAGGTCTAACTCTTAGTGTGTGTTTTGCTCCACTCACCGGTCCGTCACAGCGGGCGGAGCTGCAGGATTTCTGCTTCACACACGTTGCATACCGCTATTTTATTGTCTTTTTCAGACACCTTAAAATACTGCCAGACCGGTGAAGCCATTTTGGCGAGCTTGTTTTGCCGCGCACAGAGAAAAGTGTCATATATTTTAAACCATCATTTTACGTCATGCGATCGGCATTTTTAGAGAGCACCGATCGATTGGCAGTGAGTGAGTATCGGTCGGTATCGATCAGCGGCCGATCGATCGGAGCATCCCTATTGATTAATATTGCTGACTAAACGGTGAAAAATATAGTGCTGAGCAGGTGCTAAAGGCCAACTGTGGGTTTCATATGATAAGAGGTAAAAACAAGGAAAAGATATACAGCACAGAATAAACAGTGAGCAGGCTGTACTGCCTTCACAGGAAAACAAGCAGGGAGGAAAAGTTGCTGATAAAAACCTGTGCGCCATCTGTTTCAAAGTCAAACTAATAACGAGAACACGGAGTGAGGCATAAATTGGTTCAGTGCCTGGGAGATAGTGAGGGAAAAAGAGACTCAAGTGTTGTTGTGAGAGCTAGAGGTTAAGAGGGAGTGAGAGAGAGAAGCTGACATACTGTAGGGCAGTGAGGCACTGCTAGCAATAGAAGAGGTATCACTGCAGGTGGACGCTGGCGAGGGAGGAGGTCCCATCTCAGTCTTCACCAGCTCCGGCTTGCTTTCCGTCCTATGGGTACAGATCAAGATAGGGAAAATATTAAATAAAATGTATTTCCCTAATAGAAAATCTGACTGAGGTCTGTGTCTTTTAATAATATGGTGTAAAAACATGAAATTATGAGACAATTCATTTAAATAAATTGACAGATTATTATTATTTCTACACAAAATGAAACTGACTTGATTTCCAGGGTCTTAGGCGTCTTTTCCAAGTTCTTGAGGCTCTCTGGAGATCGCAGCTGGAACCTGCAGCTGTCGTTCATGTTCCACACTGACTCCAACAGGACGCCCACTTTGGGAATCCCAGCACTGACAGAAAAGGCCACTGCACCGGCATGGTAGAGGGGGTTATTCCTCAAGCACACCTAAGGAAGGAAACAGGACATTTATTGCTTTTTCTGTAAACAGGGTTCCTGCAGGTTTCGCCAACTCGAATTTAAGACTTTAAGACCACTTTCAATAGAATTTAAGACCTACCGTAATTTTCGGACTACAAGCCGCGACTTTTCCCCCATTTTTCGACGCTGCGGCTTATATAACGGTGCGGCTAATCTATGGATTTTTACAGCTAACGGCCAACACCTTTAACTCTATGGGCTCTATGGCCGGTCCGCGGACCCCGACCTTTAAGCGGCGGGTTCCAGCAGGAAAAGCTGGAGGCCGGAAAAGAGTGAGACAGGTAGCGCGCAAAAGTAAAAGTGGAACCGAGAGTGGTATGCCGCTGCTGCGGCTTATATTCAGGTGCGCCTTATAGTCCGAAAATTACGGTATTTCACGGCAAGTAAGTATGAAGGAAAATTGCTATGAAAGAAGAAATACGTACCATAATTACTTACAAAGTAAATGTATTGATGTTCAACATAAGAACAATGACTGAACATAACAGCATAACAGTACAGAACTGTGTTACACAGAAAGTGTGTGTGTGTGTGTGTGTGTGTGTGTGTATGTGTGTGTGTGTGTGTGTGTGTGTGTGTGTGTGTGTGTGTGTGTGTGTAGCTATATTCAGAGCTCTGCTGCCTTGGCTACAATATTTCATCGTTGCTGTTGTATGATTGGTGTTCANATATTTATTTGTAAGTAGATTCGAAGATACCTAATTTCTGAGTGCCGCTAGCTGAAGCTTGGTTGCTAGGTTACTAGCTGGGTGTTCTCCGATAAGGGGCCGGGGGAAACAAAGTTAGTGATTACTGGTTCCATGTTTATTTATTTCAATACAAATTGTTGGGGGGAACTGAAAGGCTCTTACCGTACTGGTTACTTTGCAGCCCGGACATTTCCCTCAAAACATTTAGACGCGATCGCAACACAGAAGTACCTTTCAAATCTGATCATTTTTAAGACCTTCTAAATCATATTTAAGACCTTTCTTATTTTTTTGGTCATATTTAAGACCTTTTTAAGGCCTTAAATTCAGATGATCAAATTTAAGACTTTTTAAGACCCCGCGGGAACCCTGTGTAAAGCTTGAGCTTATACCAGAAGTACTCTGAAGAGGAGAACAAATTTCCACTTATATGTAATAATAATTCCACAACACAAAAAGTTTAAACAATGACAATTCAACATTCTGTCTTACCTGTGTTCCCACGGTGATGTTCGGAATTGACGAGATGCCAGCACTGGATTTGGGCTTTTTGTTCTTGGCTCTGGCCTTTTCAAGCATTTTCTTCCGTTGACTAAAAGGCACAACACCCCTGCAGACAGATGCAAGCAGAAAAGTGTCAAAACTTTACAGACATTCATACATTTCCTCTGATGTCACGTTATAGCACCAAATAAACACAATCACAGAATCTTTCCCCATCAATAGCAGGATAACAATGTCGTGGTGACATATATAATTATAATCCCTTTTAAGTTAGTTTGATGAGAAACTATATATATTCTTACCACCAGTAGAGGGTATTCTCCAGCTGTACACACGTGTAGAGCGCACAGCAGTGCAGTGACACAATGCGTTCCCCCTGCAGCTCGGGGAAAGCCTGAGCACTGTGCTCAAGCTTAGAAGCCACTGTGCTCAGTGTGTCGTCTACCCAGGTCGCCACCTGTACCAAAAGCACAAACTTCAGTTCATAAAAAAGAAAAACATAAAATATATGTATGATAGACTATTGACGCTTTAATTCAATCACAACTGTATGCTTACTCAACTCATCCTTTGGTTAAACGGGCCCCATTATGCTCATTTTCAGGTTCATATTTGTTCCTCTCCTGTGACATGTCTCCATGATTTAACATTTCAAAAAGCTCTTTATTGTTCTCATACGGCCTGTGCTGCAGCACCTCTTTTCACCCTCTGTCTGAAACCAGAGCCCAGTCTGCTCTGATTGGTTAGCTGGCCGGCTGTGATGTCAATTATTAGAAATGTTCCGCCACTTAGTCTATCACGTACAATGTGTTGGAGTGCCAATAAAAGCGTAAGTGTTACATAGTGATGTCATTATGGTTACAGAAGTAAACAAAGAGTTACATTAAGGCTTTTCTATAACACACTACAGCAGGGGTGGCCAACCCGGGGCTCTCAAGCCGCATGCGGCTCTTTGCCTAGTTTCATGCGGCTCTTCAGTTCATATCGAATTTTATATGTGTGAGTTTGGGGGAGAGACACTGACTCCTGACTAGTGTTGAAAAAAACTGAAACAAGCGGTATCAGTGACTGTGTGTTTGATGTGGCTTGTAACATAGAAAAAATGGGGCTCTTAACCTCTGACTGGTTGGCCACCCCTGCACTACAGGAATGGGAAAACCCCACAAAGCTTGATAATAATATAATAAGCTTCTTAATTCTGTTATCATGTACTAAGCACAGCATGTGGTGTTTTTATGTCAAGAGGGGCAATCGTAATGTACCTTGTTGGTCTCTGTAGCGACAGTTGCTCTGATGCTATTGGCAGACAATAAGGTGATCTTCTCATTGGCCAGGCCGAGGAAGGATACACGCGGGTGATGAACGGAAGGATTCTACGGGAAAATATGAAAAGTTGTGATTGTAGGTCACAAAAGGCATTAAGCATGCTACAATAACAAATAGCTTCATTCTTTTTTGCTAGAAAAGTATATAAATAGGAAAGTCATTGGTAATTCCTTTGATGAAAGTTGCCCTACCTGTGCACTCCTGTAAGGTTCAGGTTCGCTCCACTTCCACTGATACAGCTCTCCTTTGGAGCTGACAGCCACCATCTCTGTGAACATGGCGCCGATGCTCACAAACTTCACCCCATCCTGGAAAGAAAATGAAAGATATAATAAATATCAGCCAAAGCAAAACCTAACTGTCCAAGTAAATGAATTTGCTACGAGTGGAGGTCTCAAGGGCATCTTGGAATAGGAATAGGAAGGTATATGTTTTTTAAATCAACAGCTGGGTTTGTGCTCCTCCTACCTTGTCAGGCCACCACTGGAGCTCCTCTCCCAAGGAGACAGGGCTCTGGACCGGGATGCTCTTCTTGTCCAAGCTGGGCTCGCCCTCGCGGCTAGTGGAGCCTCGCTCTGTGTCAAAGGAGGCCCCATCCAGCCACCGGCGCTCACGTAACCTCAGCACGGACTCGCGCTCACGCAATAGCTCTGAGTCGCGCTCTAAGGGGAGAAGGAGAACTGGTATGCAATAAGGTCACACCAGTGGGATAGAAGTAAGCCACTCTCTGGGAAAGACCCGTCAACATAGTTTTAAAATAGAGAGAAAGATTGTTTTTTTAGAATAACTTTAAGGCAATTTAAAATTGCAGTACTGCAGTTTGAGTGGGAGTCTAAATTAAAGTTGTGGGTGAGTCAGTTTGAACGCTCATATGTTAAAATGCGAGGTGGAAGTGGATAGACAGAAATAAATCATGCATGTTGGCTAAAAGTGGGCTAGGCAGGTTTTTCAGAATAGACTGCCATGAAGGGTCCCTGTTAAGACAGGGGGGCCTAGCGGGCCTTTCTCAGAGAGCTCACAGTATGTAGCCATGCATAAAACACCAAACATTTATAGCCTTTAGCATCAAACACCCATATCACAAGTCAAGCTCAACAGACTGAAGTGGAAATGTCCCCAGCAAACTAACAAACCATTTTACATGATTTTCTTCAAAACTTATAAAAAGCTCAGTTATCGATTCAGTAAAAAATTTCCCTACATTTGTCCTTTTTCTAAAAAAATAATAAATATAATTAGCGCGTTAGATAATGTCTTATTCAATCTAAAGCCAATGGCAAGCTTTATCCTTGAATCAATCTAAAAAACTAAAATATTTGTTTTCCTTTTGTGCCGTCTCATCGATAGGCCATTAAAGCTCAAACTCCACATTAAGAAGCCATCACCAGTGTTGCCACCAAAGCCTCTCCAACACCCTGATTTGATTGAAGTGAGAAGTGAGATGATGTGTTACCTCTGGAGGATCCCAGGCGAGACAGCGAGGAGCGTCTGAAAGAGGGGTATCCAAAGTAGCTGATGTCCTCAGAGAACATGGCGTCAGCGTCAATAATCACACTGGGATGAGCAGAGTGGATGTCTGCATCCAACAGGGACATCAGGTCCTCTGTGTGACAGAAAGGCACAAGAGGATGATTTACTGTCTAAAGACCATTACAATGCTAATAAATAACTCATTCGAGGCAGGTCTATATCTACTATGTTTAACTGTTGATAAGCATGAAATCAAGTCTTAATTGATAATATAGCTAATAGAAATGGACCTCTTGTTGAACAAACAGCATATCATCGATGTTTTATAAGCCCTTGTCCTTTCTGTCTCTATTTTCAGATTCTGTTTTTAGTTTTTTGACAAACCTCCAGGGAGGTAGGACTCGCTGGCAGTGTCATCTCCATCATCTCCATCTTCATCGTCCCGGCTCAGCAGGTTGTTGACGGCGAGGTTAACGTCAAGGTTGGTCCTCTGGAGTTCGCGAATGATCACACTCCTGGACTTCCCCTGAAGGACTACCTGGGCCTGGGGAAAGGAAAACAAAGACGAAAACTTATATATTGAAACTCACTTGTGACTCCAGTTAATGTGCTGTACATTAGTACATTAGTACAGCACATTAACTGTACATTTTGTATCAGAACTTAAGGTGTAAAGCTAGATTTTTTTTTTTTTACCTGAGTAATGAGTTCTTCAGGGATGACAGATGCTGGTATGACCGGCTGAGGCTGGCTACCCAGCAGCCCTGAGCCACGATCCCTTCCTGTACGGATCACACGGGTCTGTCGACGGGAATCGCGAGCTGCTGTTGACGACCTGCCCGACGTGCCTCCGCCCCCGCTTCCACCCCCGCTCCCTCCTCCTCCTCCTCCACTGCTGCCACCTCCAGCTCCGCCTCCCCCTGCTCCTCCTCCACTTCCACCTCCTCCGCTGCCTCCATTAACGCCAGAGCTCCAGCGACTCCTGTTACACAATGCAAGGCCATGGTCATACACGACTGCCAAAACCCAGTCTGCCTAACAGAGCAGACTCAAAACACATCTGGGTACTAAGGGGATTTAGTCTTTGTGACAGCAGAGACAGGGCAGCTGTCTCAACGGAGAAGGGTTTGCATCAGAAGCATTTACAGGAAGGAAGAAATTAACTGGGGGAATATTTCCTAATTTAATCAGGCATTGTAGGAGAAATGGCTTTGATTGAGAGGGAGTCTAAATAATACTGGTGGATGAGTCCGTTTGAATGCTCATGTGTCAAAATGCGATGTAGAACAGGAACTCAATGTTCCAGATGTCAACAAAAGCACTAAGAAGACTGCATACAGCAAATTTAGAGTAGATGCACCCCTACGCCGCTGCAGCGTCAGTGCTGTGCGCCTTCACAGTTTGTCTCTGTCCAACCCTGCCAGAACTTACCCAAGGGTGTTGCCTGCCAGTCTGCCCAGTGTGTCAGAGCCCGACAGGAACCAGGGCGGATCACTAGTCCTGCCTGGCCTGGAGCTCCTTCCTGTCCCTGAACCACTGCTCAACTTTGAACTGGAAACAAAAGATGGGAGATCAGTTACAAACTTAGAAAAGTCCAACACAGGACAAAAATACTTTCTTTTAATATCTAGGTTAACAGAAGCTACATTTGCCAGAGGTCTGTTAAACAATACCCCTTGGGTCAGGAGGAATTTTCTTTGATATTGCACTATATAACAGGAGGGGGCATTTTGGAGACGAGCATGGCAACACCCTTGGGAATTGGCTGCAACTCGTTCCTCGATCAAGACATTCAATTTTTATAAAAGTTCTTGGGGTTCTAGGGCTGCGACAGCTGCCTTAGGAGTTTAAACAAAATAAGTACTTCATTTTACTCAACTGATGTGTTCTAAATATATTCAGGTATGAATGCAGTTTTTCTATATCAATTTAACTAAATGACAACAATTTTACGAACATTAAATAGACAACGTTACAATGACAAGAAATATTATACAAAAGAACAGGATCATTTGACCATATTGTATTAAGAGGCAATTCGAAGCAGAAATAGGGATTCAAATTATTCAAATGCAATACAGACAAAACATGAAATTCAGACAAACAGGCTAGTGCAACTTGCCTGACTTTTGTTACGACTCAAAATCACAGAAGATATTAGACCTTGTTGAGTGAGCTGACAATCCTGCCAAAGCCAACCAGCCACCCTATTTTAAATAGGCCATCAGCAGCACACTACAGTTCTGACTGAAAAGGTGTGTGACGCCATCTCATGTGCTTTTGCAAGTCTGAACAAGGGAACAAACGTGTGTTCTGCAGAAACATTTGGAGAAGGGAAGCCTTTTTCAGCCTCATTCACATGAATATTTAGCAGCTACAGGGGCCTTGAAAGCTCTGAAATCACTGTTGGATATTTTTCTGCTGGCAGGATATCCACAACTATCAAAGGAGACATTCACCCAAAAAATATACTCATAGCCAACACAAAACCGAGCAGCTAGTAAAAAAGGGTTTTTTATTAAATTGGAAACACACTTGCACAGCCATTAAGGGAAAGGGGTTACAGAAAGTTAAACAATTTGGAAACCGTCTAACTGTTGGTTATTGGGTGTACAAATTAGAATAAAAGGCAGAAGTAGGCCAGATATTTTAATGTTCCTGGAATGCATTTAACTTTCTTTTAACTCTCTAAAAAGCAGCTCTGTAGTGAGAATGAACTCATGGACATTGTAATCATAAAAATAACAACCCCAAAGTTTCCCCCGTTGCAATAGATGCTTGTTGGAGAACCTTTATCAGATATATTTTATACTGCAGAGAGATTTAAATCTTTGTAGAAAAGAGACTGAGTTTTATTCTTAAAGTAAAAAAAAAACATGTCTAATTGCTGCAAATGTAGCCAAAAGGGGCAGAAGGGAGCATGTTCAGTGCATATTGTACAAGATATCTCCACAAGCAATCTGTTTTCCATCTTGGTGCAAAAAAGGTTTGAGGGCAGATCCGATCATAAAGAGAAAACTCACCCATCGTTGCCTTCCGGTTTGCTGAGCTCCAGGCGATCAGGCTGGACAGCAAAGCTGATTCTGCACACGCGGCCATCCTAAAGAGATGTGTTTATGGTTTTCAGTGTCACACATTTGACTAATAAAAACACTTGAATATGAGTTCTGTTTACCAAATTAGCCAGAAATAAAAAAGACATGAAGCCCAACACCTGGAAATTATAAATGTTTATATCTGTAGATTTATTTCAGTGGAGCTGGAAGATATAAGTCATAGCAAAAAATGAAGGCACAACATTTGACTCCACACTCACAAGTAACACACTTCCACCTGCATACCCCAGTTGGCAGTTTGACATTTCTGTCAAAGCTCAAACCCCCTAAGGCCAATTACTACATGTTGCCTCTACAGCCCTGTTCAAACTGGATTACCCTAATTGGGGTTTGCCAAGGAACCAGACGTATCTGCGAGCTTGTGTTTTATTTGCTCTGGCAGAAGAGTCTGGCCCCCTGAACTTTACATAGATAAAGCAACTTGAGATTTTAAAGGCCAGTCAAAAGCATTCTATTGGAGATGAGTGTTATAAACACAGATGAGACATTTTCAGAACAAACAAGATGGCTGCAGCAGATGTGGAAACATCGGTTAAAGCTGCTATGGTGTAATTTTTGAACGTTATGGACAGTATATTTTGGATTGAGGAAATCTAATCAAACGCTTAAATTAGTTGGGAAAGAACCTATTTTCAAAAGGATTTGGCTTAAGATTCATATGCAAAAATAATAATTTACCAGCTCATGTCTGAACGCTGTCGTCTGTTTTCCATTGCTCAGAGCTATGTCCCATGTTTTGTTGCTAAAAAGTGGTTGTAGACCCATCCAATGGACCCTTTTTTCGCAGCAGCCATTTTGCTATTTTACTGTAGGGATAATTATAGTCTTTCTAATTAGCGTGTCACAGCCATTCCAGTGAGCTAGCATGCACCATAGCAGCACAATGGTCTACCTAAGTGCAAAATGTTAACAACTGTTAGCCTGCAATGACATGTCAAATGGCTGCTGTGAAAAGGGGCCATTGCGTCCAGAGGCATTTTGGTCTGCAATCGTTGACAGCCGAGGAAGCCCATGTGGAAATGGAACATTTAACTGAGAAGCTAACTGAAGACTAATTAACATAAGAGATTTGGTCAGGCGATGTCAGGCTACATATAGTTTGTGTTCTGAATAAAAAAGCTAACATACAATCTAGGGCTGCTCAATTAATCGTATTTTAAATCGCGATTACGATATGGCTTGCAACGATTACGAAAACAGCGTAATCAAAATAAAACGATTATTTTTTAATTATTATTTTTACTACTTTTCAGTTGAATTATACTTGAAGTTCAGGGTAATCAACTGTCAAAAACATACTGTTCAAATGTTTTTTCTCCAATAAATTGATGTTTTCAAAGTAAATAAAGTAGAAAATCGTTTTTAATAATCGTGATATCAATTATTGACCCAGTGGATTGAGTGGAATATGTTTTACCAAAATGTTGGCTATATGTTAAGGAGTTTTCAGGTTGTGACAGTGCACTGCAACATGTTTGTTGATCTTGTTTATTGGCATTTATTATTTTGATATTATTTATATTATCTGGAGCTTTTCCCTCTTCAAGCTACCTAATTTCACTCCTTCCACCTTTGAATTCCATGCCGTCACAGTAACCCATCCTATACAATTAACCATTGTTGTTCTCTACCGTCCACCAGGCGCCTTGGGGGACTTCTTGGAGGAGTTAGATAATCTCCTCTCACACATCCCTGAAACTGGCCCTCCCGCTGTACTTCTCGGCGATTTCAACCTCCAGACAGGGAAGATATCTGAACTAACATCTCTGTTAACCACCTTTGCTTTCTCACTGTCTCCATCCCCACCAACTCATAAAGCTGGCAATGTCCTTGATCTCATATTCTCAAGGAACTGCTCTACTTCTAACCTCTCTGTAAACCCGCTCCACACCTCCGATCACTTCTTCATTTCATTCTCTCTACCCCTTTCCAAACATAACAACCTCATCTCTTCTAACTCTGCTCCTGTCCGCCGTAACCTCCGTTCCCTCTCCCCCTCTACCTTTACCTCATCGGTGCTCTCAGCCCTCCCTTCCTCTGACTCGTTCCAACTCCTGCCTCCAAACGCTGCTGCAAAAACTCTCCTCTCGACTCTCTCATCCTCTCTGGACTTTCTCTGTCCTCTCACATCGCGGCCGGCTCGTCAGTCCCCTCCTGCTCCCTGGCTAAATGATGCACTGCGTGCTAATAGAACCATCCTTCGGGCAGCAGAGCGGAAATGGTGGAAATCCAAACACCATGACGACCTCCTAACCTATCTCTCGGAAAACGGACCTCTCTACCTTGTCTCTTTTCGTCCTC